GGGCTGGTTGCTTTCGTGGGGCCGCGCCTGCCCGAGCTCTGCACGTTCAATAATTCGCTGCAGACCCCGCAGTCACCCCTGGGTGCAGGTGGCGATTCAGAAAAGTTAGGAAACTGACACATAGGTGCAGGGGCAGCTCTTGCAGGGGCTTTGCGGGGGGAGGGGGGGCTGCGGAGGAAAAGAGGTTCTGAAAGTGGACAGGGCCCGGCCTCGCCCAGCCTGCTTCTGAAGAGGGAGGTCAAGGAGCACCGGGCATCAGCTTGGCGCCCTCCTTTCGGGGTAATCGTTGACGGAGCAGAAGCCTGGGAGCCGCAAAAGCACTTTAGGTTTGTTGCAGAATCTCCGAGACGTCCTGGTCACCTAGAGTCATTGGCATTTCGTTGACCAGGTCACAGAGGAGTGAGAATTACCCAGCGCCCCTGGGTCAGAGAGCTGGTCTGGATATGCTAATGGATGCTTTTCGGTTGTGGATTTATCTGAGAAACGCTCTAGGACGGAGGTTCTCAGCTTGGAGCAGGGCGAGGGGAGCCGTGGTGCATATTCTGCCACCTACTGTTTGGTTTTCAGCAAACTGCAGGTCAGCTCCAAGCCTGCTTCTCGTTTATAACACACGACAAATAGAACCTGTCTCTGGGTTGCTGTGAGGAGTAAGTGAAGGTCCGTGTGCAGCAGGGCCTGGTACACCAGGCACCTTCGTTCCGTTACCGTATTAGCTCGTTCTTCAGGATCTGTGGAGCCCCGGAACCCATCCCCAAAACACACCAATCAAGACATCAATACGTTTGTCTGTTTTATTTCCAGGATGTAGAGATGATATCCGGCACCACACACACACTCCCATGCACGCGCACACATACAAATACCGCATCCACCTGAACTTGCCCGACACACTCCTTTCCTTTTGAGTCGCAGGGACAAAGCCACACTTGGCAGCCCCCAAATTTCTGGTTACATTAGTGAGATTTGGTCTTTCAGAAAGAAGACAGCTGAAGTTCTAAGAAGATGAGCCCTTACCCAGAGAAGTAGAGTGCTAGAGCCAATAGCTGCAGCCTTAAATGCACGCAGACCCCCCTTTCCAGGGGCCATTCTCCCGCCGCCAGGAGAGAGCTCTTTCCTGCCCTTTCCAGAGCTGGGGACACACCCACTTGCTCTCCTCCTCCCTTAAGGAGTCTCTCCTGTGGTCTTGTAAACTGTGGGACCTATTGAAATAAGCCTGGTTGGCTGTGCCCTCCTCTCTGAGTAAGAATCAGGTACACTGACTATGATGGGTAGTCAGGGAAAGCTTTACCTTGCTCAAAGGTCTGATCCTGTCCCAGAGAGAAGAGGTAGAGGGGAAGGGGTGTAGACAGGCAGTCACTTATCTAATGATCTCTGGGGGGAAAAAGCCAAAGCAGGAAAGGGGGTGGGGCGAGATTTTACATTTACAGGGAGAACTGTTTTCCTGGGGTTTAAACTTCAACTAGGCCTGTGCATTTGAGCAGCTCCTTAGCCTGAAGATCAGCCAGTTGTGGCCAAATAATCTTGCTCCTGAACTGGTTGAGACCAGCCGATTAACCCGACCTGGCCATTCTCCCATCCCCTACCTGCTCCACTCCCTCAGGCTCTGTAAGGGCAGCTCCTTGGGCCCTTCATTATGGGTCACTGAGGAGCCAGAGGGCACCCACACTGGCTCCGGCCTCCAACAGCATCCAGACCTTTCCACTTCAGGTTTGGCAGAGGCTTCTTCAAAACTCTTGCCTAATTTTAGACCTAACTTGCCCCCCTCTTCCCTCCCCCCAAGGATTGCAGTACAATCTTTCCTAACATCTCGCTTGTCCTTGTCTGGGTCTGACTTCCTCACTAGACTATAAATATAGTTTATTTAGACTCAGTGGGCTGAGTCTATTTCACTACTGGGTTCTTAGCTCTTGGCCCATAGCAGGTGCTTAATAAATATGTTCAATGGGTGAGTGCATCTTAAGTCCTGAGCGGGCAGTGTAAGGGACTGCAGAACACAGGTGGGGTCAAAGCTGGGGTCCCTGCTCAGCCAACATGGGGCCAGTTCTGAGAAATGGCTTAGCTGAGAAGCTCTAGTGAGTGCAGAATTGCAGAGGCCGGCCTGGCCCTTACCCAAACCCTGATGCTGACTCAGAGGCACTGGAAAGATGCGTCCCGGCCAAGGGTTCTTCCCGCAACGCTGACCTAGGAGACTCCCCGTCCCTGCCCCTTGTTTTCATCTGAAGCAGCCCAGAGCAGAGATGAAACATGTGCAGGGCATCTGAACACTTGGGCTCCAGACTCTTCCATCTCCAGATTAACCCCTCACCCTGGGCAAGGCACATAATCCCTGTGGGCCACCAGTTTTCTCACCTGTGACATGAGAGGGTGAATCAGGGCTGAAAAATCCTGTGAACCCATAATAAAGGACACAGGAGACCCCAATCCAATGCCTAAGGATTTGGAAAGGGTGAGGTGAGTTAGAGAGACGGCAGACAAAGTACATGTCAGGACACAGTGGGGGGACTTAAAGCTTATAATAGGTGGTCAATAAATATCTGTTGTGATTCTGAGTAAGTGAATGAATAAATGAATAATGGAAGGTGGGAAGGCGAAGGAGGGAAGCAGCCAGTTTTCCAGCAGACTGGGATGGGAAAGGCAACCTCCTATTTCTCAGGTCTTGGCTTAACAGCTGTGCTGACCCTTTTTGCCACAAGCATTTTATTCTCCATTGTCCTACCCTGTCACCCTCAGTCCCCTCCCTAAGGGGAGCACTAGGCTGGATGCCCTCCTTCCCAAGGCCCCTGGTCTTCCCTGTACCTCCAAAGCCCTTTGCTGCCCAGCAAGGGACAGGGCTCCCTCTGAGCTGCCTGTAAAGTGTGGCCAGGGGGGCAAGGCCGGAGGATTTCTTCCTGAACCTTCTTGAAGGGCTCAGATTGCTTACTTTCCCTCTTCTGTCACCTCACCAATTATGAGAAAAAGCATGGCCCGAGTGGGGCATCAGCCAGGGCGGTGGGGCAGCAAGTGTCCACGTCCTGGACCACCGAGAGCACTGAAACCTCAGAGTGTCTGAGGAATCCCTGGCGAGGCCCTGCAGCCTTGTCCCTACCCCAAGGTCTCCTGGAAGTGGGCCAAGGTCCTTGCCAGGGTCAGGCCAGCGAGCCTGGGCTAAGCACAGAGACCTCCAGGAAGCGTGGGGATCCCCAGCTTCCAGCCTCCCTGCCCTGGCCTCGCCCTCCTCCGGTTTTTTGGTTTGATGTCAGCCCTTCTGCACGGGTGGGGGGCGGGGAGAAGGGTGGAGGAAGAGAGGGAGGGGCCCAGAGCCCCTTTAAGGCAGATAATTTGTGCTTTACAAAGAGATCGCTGATTCTGCAGATGAAAAAACCCAAATAAACATGCCCAATGAGCAGAAAACCCAAATAAGACAAAACACCATAAGTCCAGAGGGCAGGGAGACCAGGAGGGAGGAACAGGGGCAGGGAGGGCAGGGGCAGGTCCAGGCAGATCCTCAGGGCAGGCTGGCAATGTCTCTCTCTGGAGGGGGCCCAACAGGCTTGGGGCTGCTCTCTTTGGCTTTTCCTTCAAACATCATGACTCTGGTTTGGAGATGGAGAAAAAAGAAACAGGGTTAGGACCCCTCCCTCATCCAGGGAAAGCTCTGCCAGCCTTCCGTTTGCAGGGTCCTGAGCAGAGTGCCCTTCACCCATCTTCCAGTGGGATCTTCTCAGAAGCCTAGGACGGCAGCTACACAGAAGGGGCTCCTAGTCCCATTTTACAGAGGAGAAAACTGAGGCGCAGTGTGGCAACGTGACTCCTCAGAGCCACACAGGCAGCCCAGGCAGGACAAGACTCAGGATCTCTGCCTTCCAGGCTATGTACCTTCCTCTAATCATGCTGCCTGGAGGAGGCAGAGCTAGGCTGGGCCACGGCTCCACTCAAAACCCCTTCCGATCTTCAAAAACCTCCCACTGTTCTGAGAGTCAAGTCCAGGGAGTAGAGGACAGGGGTTCCTGGTGGAGCCTCTGGAGGGAAACAGCTGGATCTGAGTCCCATCCCTACTACTTCCCAGCTGGTGGCTCCAGCAAGACTCTCGACCCGGCTGATGCTGTTTCATCTGGAAGTAAGGGCACCAATGTGTTTATGTCCTGGAGCTGGCCCAGGCATAGTGCCCTACGCCGCCTGCAGTCATTCCCCGGCTGGGCTCTTCCAGTCCCCCGGCTCTAAATCCCATCCAAAGGGTGACAAGTCCACAAACAGCTTATCTCTGAGTTGCAGACCTGCACCGCCAGCTCCTCCTCGACCCCTCCCCTTGGATGTCCTAAGGGCACGTCCCTTGAACAAAACCTGAATTCTTGATGCCTGCTTTCCCCACCTGCCCTTCCCACCAAGCAAACGGCTCAGTCACTCACTCAGTTACCGAGACCCAGACTTTAGACTCACAGACTCTGTACTTCCCCTTACACCCCACGTCTAGGCACGTAAGCAATGCTTCTGGCTCTACCTCCCAAATCACTCCCGATTCCAACAGCTCCTGTCCACCTCTGCTGCAGCCTCTCCAAGCCAGCGACCTCGTCTCTTCCCAGCACAGGCCTCCCTGCGGCCACTCTCACCCCTGCCCAGAGGGGCCCTTTTAAAAGTCAGTCCCTAGCTTAGACCACTCCAATGGCACCCTCCACATTAGGACAAAATGCTAAGTCTCACTGGGGCCTACAAGGCCCCATATTCCCTCCCCTGCCCAGCTCTGCAGACCCATCCTTCACTCACTGTACTTACTAATAGCCCAGACACACTGGCCTCTGTGCTGTTCCTTAAAAATCTGAACACAGTTCTGCCTCAGGGCCTTTGCNACAGCCAGAGGGGCCCTTTTAAAAGTCAGTCCCTAGCTTAGACCACTCCAATGGCACCCTCCACATTAGGACAAAATGCTAAGTCTCACTGGGGCCTACAAGGCCCCATATTCCCTCCCCTGCCCAGCTCTGCAGACCCATCCTTCACTCACTGTACTTACTAATAGCCCAGACACACTGGCCTCTGTGCTGTTCCTTAAAAATCTGAACACAGTTCTGCCTCAGGGCCTTTGCACGTGTGGTGTCCTCTGTCTGGAATGCTTTCCCCCCAGATCTTCACATGGCTCTGCTCCTCCCATCTTCCTCATTCAGGGCTCTGGTCAAATGTCACCTTCTCAGGGAGACCCTTCCTGCCAACCACTGCATCATCTCTGTTCCTCCTCCCACTTTATATTTCTTTGTACTACACCACTGCAATCTGGTGTTTTTGTGTGTTTTCGTTTACCTCCTGCCACTAGAATGTAAGCTCTACGAGGATGCCAGCAATTCATGTGTCCCTAGCACCTAGAATAATTCCTGGCATACAGCTGGTGCTCAATAAATATTTGCTGAATTAACAAGTGATAAATCTAAAGAGCTGACACACAGACGAGTGCCTGACACGCAGTAAATGTCCACTAGGTCTTCGGTGTTGTTTTAGCAGCGTTGCCACCCTGGTTGCTGCCACCTGCCCTCTGCAGTACCATCTGACCGTGGTGGGTTGCCCGCCACACCTCCTGCCCCATCCCACCCACACGAAAAGCTCTGACCAGCCCAAGCGGTGGGCTCATGAGCCATTTACTCAGCTTCCCAGAGCCTCAACTTCCCCCTTTGTTAAATGAGACAGGTGGATTTGACATTTGTGCATTTGAAAGAAAGTTAATCTTATGTCATGAGAGCCAAATGAGGTCCCTTTCAGCTCAAATACCACGAGACTCCGCAGGGATTTCTCTGCAGCTCCTCGGAGGGGCAGCACCTGCGTACGAAGTGGGTTTTAGCCACCATCTCCTAGGCGTCCCCATCAGCCAGGCACCGGGCCAGGCTCTCACGTGTGTGACCTCATTAATCCTCAGGACAAGGCTTCATGAAAGACATTTATTGCATCTGTCTTACAGGGGAACAGCATTCGCGCTCTACCTCCCTCTGGGCCCGGGTGCAAGCCTGCATCCTATCGCACCCACCCCTGGGGGGCACAGCCACTTTACAAGTGAGAAAGCTGAGGTTCAGAAAGCTTTGCCAGTAGCTTTGTCATCGGCATCGCCACAGTCATCACAGTTAACACCTACTGAGAGCCGGTTCTGCCAGACCCCCCCCCCCNATCTGTCCGTCTGTCCGACAGGTAAGGAGGCGGGTCAGAGCACGGAAACCCCGCCCAGCGGGCGCACGGGGAGGCCCCTCCCGGCTGGGGGCTGGGGTGCCGCGCAGGGCCTCCCCACACACAGGACCGGGCCGCAGAGGCCCCAGAAGCGGGAGGTACTCACAGCTTGAGGACAGCCGACCGTTTCCCCAGCATCATGTTCACAAAGTCTCGGTAGGAGATGGTGTCGCTGACCCCACCTGTCACCTCCGAGATCATCTTCTTCATCTCCAGGTGGGTCTTGGGCACCCCGAGCTTCTCCATCATCCTCTTTAAAGACATCAGGTCTGCGGGAGGAAAGCAGGTCCGCAGAGTGGAGGCAGGGCNTGGCAAAGCTCCCTCTGGCCGCCGCCCGGAGGAAGCGGCAGGACAGCCCTCCCGGCCACTGCGGGCAGGGCCCTGCTCCTCTGGGGACAGCCACCTATCACCCCTCCCTGCCCCCTTTGGAGGCCACGCAGACTAGTGGTTAGGACCCCGGGCTTCTACTGTCACCGAGGCTTGGGTTGGAGTCCAGCCCTGCTATTTCTAGCTGTGGGATCCCGGGCAGGCGACAACCTCACTGAACCCCAGTGCCACTGGGGGGCCAACGGGCTGATGGGAGCGCTGGGAGGACTATGCGCAGAAGCACCTGGCACAAGGCAGGTGCGTAACAGGGCAGCTAGTCTCTTTTCTTTTCAATCCTCACCTGAGGATATTTTTTCCATTTCTTCTCAGAGAGAGCGGAAGGGGGAGGGAGGGGAGAGAGAGAGAGAGAGCGGGAGAGAGAGAGAGAAACGTCAATGTGAGAGAGACACATCGATTGGTTGTCTCCCGAACATGCCCTGACTGGGGCCGGGGACCCAGCCTGCAACCGAGGCATGTGCCCTTGGCCAGAATCGAACCTGGGACCCTTCAGTCCGCGGGCCGATGCTCTAACCACTAAGCAAACCCGCCAGGGCTAGAGTAGCTGTTCTTTACTGCTATCTCTGCTCCTCCCTGCAGGTTCAGGGGAGCCAGGGGCCCGCTGCCCAGCCAGGTGGAGTCAGGGAGTTGGCCTGACCCCCAACATCCACAGTCCTCTCTAGGGGGCTGGGTGGCAGCTTCTCCCGTCTGCCACTCCCACCCTGCAGCCCAGAAGGGAGAGGGTGCCAAAAATACCCCTGCAGAGCAGGAAAACCAACAAAAGAACAAAATCTCAGAAAAACAAGGGAGGCACCAAAGAGTCACTACACCCCAAGGAGCTGCTGCCTCTAACCACCCGGCTCCCCAGAGTTGAGGCAATTTCCTTCGGATTGTTCCGTGAACAATGGGCCAGCAAAGGATGGCGGGAGACGGGGTGCGGCAGGGGCAGATGTTAGGGCCAGGCAGTGTGCGCCAGCTCACCCGAAGGCAGGGCGGGCAGGACTGGTGCCAGCCCCCTAGGTGCCAGGATGTCCAGGGCATTTCAAAGAAAGCTGGGCAGCCTTCTGCAGGAAGGAGCGAAAGGCCTCCTGCGGCTGCTGGCCGGACTCAGAACTGGCAAGACCTTTCTGGAAGGCCGTTTGGCAGGATGCTTCGGAAACCTTTGACCCCGAATGTCCAATTCCTGAGATTCACTCTTAAGAAATAATCAGGGGTGTGGAAAAGGATTCACGTACAAAGATGTTCGTCACGGGATTATCAATGACATGAAGGCGTTGGCCGAATGAATTACAGTCCATCCCCACAATGGAATATTAGGCAGCCACTAATTATATTTCAAAAGAAAAGCAAATCATATGTCAAAATGCTCACAATATGTTATTATTATTTTTTAAACAAAGGAGGTTCTAAAAATGGTATAAAACTGCATTTGTGATTAGAACAAAGAGTGAAAGGATATAAACTGAACTGTTTATAGCTGTTATTTCTGGGAGGTGGGATGTGGGTGAAGGAGATTTGTCTTTGTGCTTTGCTGGGTTTTCCAAAAACTTTTATGGTGAAAATGAATTAACTTGATACATTTTTTTCCTGAAGAAGAAAAAGACTAAAAATATCCGAAAGGGGAAAGAACAAGAGAAGACAGACAAGGAGTAGAAATGCGGCAACAGGGGGACGCAGGGTGAACCGGAGGAGGGATCGGGGCCTGGGGCCTGCCACGTAAAGACCCGTGCCCCAAGCAAGTAGTTTCCTCTTTCTGAGCCTCGGTTTCCTCATCTGTATAGTGGGGATAATTACACCAGCCTCGATCATGTCATTCTGCTACCGGTGAAGGTAAAGATACGGCCCTGAATGTAAGTGCCATGGGACAAGTGTTTGTCGCCCCCAGTATCTGGACCAGGAGGGAACCAATGTACCCGAAGGCACCTTGTCAACTGCAAGACAGTATACAGATGGGAGGAGAGGCTTGGAGACAAAGGAAATGCTAGCCCCCTGGGCCACCGTGTCAAAAGTCTGAGCATCTCCAGCCCCGGGCAGGGGTGGCACTCTTTATGCTGGGTCCCCTGGGGTGGGGGGCTGAGGCGTGGGCAGCGAGGTGGCAGGAGAGGGAAATGGTCAGAAGAGAAGTTTGGGGACGATGGGTCCAGGGTAAAGGCAGACGGGCTCCAACCTGGCTCAGCTGGCCCAGCCCATCGGGAAGGCTTCCTGACACCTCACCCACACAGGTGAGTCTGTGGGGCTCCCTGGACCTTCGCACTGTCCACCCACCGAACACCCTCGTTCCCCAACACTCTCCAGGCCTTACTCACCAATCTCGCCTTCATTGTTCAGGTCAAACTCCATGTACTTCTCTGGAAAACACAGGGTAAAAACTGGCATTAGCTTGGAAGGCAGGGTTCCAGTGACTCCCCTGAGGGCAAGTGGCTAGGTCCTCGAGGAGCCCACACCTAACTCCTCACCCCTACGCGGGGTCTTGACCTGAGTCCTATCATCTTAGTTGTCTCTGAAGAAGGATCTGGTCCTGCCTGCACGCCTCACCTAGGGGCAAGGAGGCCACTCTGACCCTCCACCAGTGAGGACAGCTCTTTCCTCCCGGGTCCCTGCCAGTGACGGCTGGCTGCATTCAGATCGGCTACAGTGACTACGATAGATTCTGGCCCAGGAGGTAGTGATTTGGTGGGGCTGAGAAGGGCGGGTGGGAGCAGGACCTGGCGTGCCCCAGGTGATTCCGATGGGCAGCCAGGTGGTTTGGAACCTTTGGGTCATGGGCAACACTGAGAACCTGATGCTCTTCCAGGAGAAATGCCCGTGGGCCTGCCCTTCACCACGAAGCGGGACATACAGGGCCCAAGGGTACACAGGCCCTCCCCACAAACCTTACCTACAGGCTGAATTAAACGTTCCTGATCAAGGGGTCCAGGGGACCTCTAACAGCGAGCGAGAATGACTTGGAGCACCCTGGTACCTTCTGTCATGGGCAGTGTGCAAACGAGTCCTGTGCCTTCTGCAGGTCACCCCTGCCCGGGTCTATTCTGCATGAAGCAGCAAGAAGGAGCCAAGGTCCCCTCAGTGGCCTTCGAGGCCCCCGGGACCTTCAGGAGCATCTGCCCTCCAGCCACTCAGGCTGCCTGTCCCTCCCTCCCTCCCCTCCATCCACTGGCCTTGCTGTACCTGGCCCATCCCCCACCTGCTCTGGCTCAGGGCTTGCCACCCCTCTGCCTCGAATGTCCTTCCTAGGTAGTCTCAAGGCTCCTCCTCATGCCATCAGGGCCTCCCAGCCTTTCTAATTGGGCATCCCCCTACACACACACACACACACACACACACGCACGCACACAGCACCTACCACCCCAGAGACCTCTGTCCCTTCTCTCAGGGCCATCTCTGAAGAGTGACCCCACTGGTAACCAGAGAGAAGGGAAGGACTGCTCCCCCTCTTCGAGGCTCTCCTATGGCTGGCTGGCATGTCACAGGAGAGGGGGGCAACAGGGCAGGGATGGGGGTTCTTTGTTTTTTGTTTTTAATGTAAAAAGCACCATCCCATAATGGTAAAGAGCAGGGGATCTGGGATGAGATCAATATAGGTTCAAACCCCAACTCTGCCCTAGGTGAGCTGTGTGACTCCAGGCAAACGACCTTACCTCTCTGAGCCTGAATTTCTTCTATAAATTAAAGAGGGCATTGTCTCCCTCCTGGCCAGATTGGATGATTCAGGGAGCTCACAGCACAGCATTTGAAGTGCTTCCCACAGGTCAATGTTCAACAAATGCTTAGCCCCTGACGCCCTGCCCCGGACAACCAGGCTGTAAGCGTTTGAGGAGCACTTGGCAGGTTCTCTGCCTTGGAGCAGGGAGGCTGCCTGCAGTGCCAAGACTCTGGGGGAAGGGGGATGTGGCCTCCAGGATACTCGCGTGGTCCCCCAGCGCGCCCTGAGTACATCTCCCGGCAGGAAAGGTGGGTCTGGCTGCTCCTTATGTGCAGGCTCCTCTCCTTTCTCCAGCCGCTGGCTGGGAACCAAGCGCCCGGCCCAGAACAGAGGGGCCTTTATGCCGCCCCCTCCCCGCGTGTGCGCGGGCTCCCGAGCCCTGTTTTCTTTTCAACCCGTGCTGCAGGGATTCAATGGGCAGAAACTCTGCCCCCTGCCCCACTGCAGAGACACAAACGTCCATTCTCTGCAGGGGCTCCCGAGACGCTCCACGGTGGAGGGGGAGAGGCCAGGGCTGCTACAAAGAGCTGATTGTGTGCTGGGGCCCCGGGAGCGAGCAGGGCCTGGGCAGCGGCCACGGGAGCCAACCTGAGCCCTGCGGGCAGCTGTGGGGAGAGAGGGGCAGGGGCAGGCTGAGGCCTACAGGTGAGGGTGAGGGGGTCGGGGCGGCTTGGAGGCGGTGAAGGGGCCTGCCCCCTCTGGCCGGGCACCCTGTCTTGCAGCCCCCCAGGAACAGGGGCATTGCGGATGAAACGGGTGCAGCCTGGCCCTGTGGGGATAAGGGATCCCAGGTACGAGGGCCTGGGAGTTGGGCAGCCAAACCCAACTCACCTTTGAAGGCTGAGAGCTTTTCTGGCAGGTCTTCTTCATCGCTGTACTTCTGGTCACAGAGAAACTCCTACAGAGGCGAGAGGGCAGAGCTAAGCAAGGGGTCCAGGCGGAACTTGCCAGCACGGAGGCCCATTGCCTGGGGCCTTCTCTCCCGCCAGGGCAGACCCGCGGAGTCCAGCCTGCGGGTAGGAAGTGTACTCAGCAGCTGGAGTGGGACCCGCAGAGTCTGCTCTAGGAGACGAAACACCTTCCATCAAACTGAATTACCGGCGCAGGGACCTGGGCCTCCCCCAGGGCACCCTGCTCTGGGATCCATGACAAGCTGCATGGTACATGACCCTGGCATATTAATTCCCATGTGTTATCTCTAAGTGGGAGTAATTATCAGACCTATTTCTAGAGTTTGTATGAGAATCCAAGGAGAGTGCATGTATGACTTCACATAGCAAGTGCTCAACAAACAGTGGCTGTCGTGTTATTAGTCTCTGTTCTAGTCAGAAAGTGACTGTACATTGCTTGGGAGTCACTCCTCTCCCCTGTCCTCACCATAAAACAAGCCACCTTCCCCTCAGATGCTGGGAGAGTCTCAAACGAGTCCTTTCAGAACCAGATGGGGAGGGTCGGGGGGCACTAACAAGAGCCCCCAGAATGAAGCACTTACTTATATGATCTATTTGGATCCCCAGTGGGCCCAACAGTTTCCTATTTTACAGATGAGAAAATTGAGGCTCACACAGCGAGACCTTCAGTTCAGCTCCATCTCATTCAAAGTCTGCATCCTTGACCTTGACCCTTAACGATGGGCAGACAGCAGGCATTCATCTGGCTTTAAAACAAAAAGCTACCCATTCCGAAGCACCTGCTAGGCCAGCATAGAGCCAAGGATTTGACTCGCCTCATTACTAACCTTCAAGCCGCCCCAGAGCCTGTGCACAGATGGGGAGGCAGGGGGTGCACACCCGCCCTAGCACAGACTCCGCCAATGCCCTCTCTTGTCTGGACCACACTTTCCTCCTTACTGAGGCAGCTGGATGTGAGCATCGCTCCTCACTCGTCACTCATTCAACAGTTTTTGAGGGACCACAGCATACGCTGCTGTGTTCCAGGCAGCAAGGGAGCAGGTAAGTCCGAGGCAAATAAGATAAAGTCCTTACCCTAAAATTACAGGGAGTGTTTCAAGCGACAGTAAATGGTATCCAGGTCAATACTCAATCTGTTCCTAAATTCCTACTTTCCACTCACCGATGACTGGGTTTGTACTTACACACCTCCTAGGACAGGGAACTTACTACCTTTCCAGCCTGTTATGTAAATCCTCAAGAGGCTTAAAGTAAAACAAGAGTAAAGTAAAACAAAAAACCTAAACAATGCTGAAGCACTCTGGGTTTGGATCTCAGTGACTTGCTTACTAACTGTGAAATGGGCACAAGCGTAACCACATCCTCAGGCACCTGTCCCTCACCGGGGATCACCAAGCTTGCCCGTCAGTGCTCAGTAAGCAACAGGTATGATTTAGTGTGAGGCAGAATATGAGCCCTTCCAGGGTCCAAGTGTCTGCATGTTAACTCAGCCCCTCAGACAGAGAAGGGGAACTCACTTGCCAGTATGACTCCCCATTGCTAGGTACCATGCAATCCTATTAGATTCTCAATTTTATGCAGATTTTACAGGAAAGAGCAGGAGGACCAGAGAGGTTAAATAAAGTCCTGGGCAGCTGAGGAAATGCAGGGTTGGTTTGGAATCTGGGCCTATCAGACTCCAGGACCTGTGCCTCCAGCAGCCTGGTGGAGAGCGGCCCCAGGCTCACGGGATCCAGCTGGCGTGGCCACAGCCTCGCTTGGTGCCTCATTGCCATGCACCTCGCTGGAGCTGGAACTTTCTCCTGCCGCCTGGGAGGCTGCCCTCCTCCCGCTGGCTCTGTCCAGGACTTCCCTTCCTCTTGGCTCCCTCTTAGAGCTCTTTTCCACTGCTTACCAAAAGTAGGACAATTAACTCCTGTCTGTGACCCCGAGCAAACCAGGCACCTCCCGGTGTCACAGGTCCCAAACCTGTCCAGCAGAGGGACAAACAGGACAGTGGTTCCCAGACTTTGGGGTAATGCAAAAAGAAATATTTCCAAAAACTAAGAATAAGGAGAGGTGCTAACTGAGGCTGCCAAACTTGTACTTTGCCGAGGGAAGACTGAACTGCCATCGGCTGCTGCCAGAGTTCAGTAAAGGACATTTCATAAAAGTAGGAAGTTCATCTCAGAACCTTTAAATAGAATTCACTTAGCCGACATTCAACTCACTACATTGCCCTATGTTCCCCCCACTTTACTATGTAAGAAACTGGGGAACCTTCATGGGGAGGCACAGGCAAAGCCCAACACCTGAGACTTTGAGGGGAGAGAGCTAGGGGCCTCCCAGCTCCCACGTCCTGGTCGACCAGAAATCCTGCAGCAGCCTGGAGCCCGTCAGCAATGTGTACTGACCACTCTAGGAATCCAGGCAGACTGGGCTCAAGGGGTAGGACAGGGGCCTCTGTTGGAGGCAAATCACACAGAGATAACATGGAACCACCAGGCAGCGACTGAGAGCAAGGACAAGCATGCAGGGGGAGCCAGGCCGGCGTGGCTCAGCGGTTGAGCGTCAATCCATAAACCAGGAGGTCACAGTTCGATTCCCAGTCAGGGCACATGCCCAGGTTTCAGGGCTCGATCTCTAGTAGGGGGCGTGCAGAAGGCAGCCGATCAATGACTCTCATCATTGATGTTTCTCTCTCTCCCTCTCCCTTCCTCTCTCTGAAATCAATAAAAAGATATTTAAATTTTTTTTTTTTTAAAAAAGAGTGCAGCAGGAGCTGTGGATAACGACTCCCCTTCACTGGACTGACCGGGCCAGGCATGCTCCCACCTGGGTCTTAGCTCTAGCTGGGCCCCCTGCCTGCACAGCTCATCGCCACACTTCCATACGGCTCTCTCCCTCGCCTGGCCTCCTCCAAGCCTTTGCACAACTGTCACCTTCTCAGTGAGGCCGACCCCGTCCACCCCACTGCAGCCCCTGCCTCCACTTCCAACCCGCCCTACCTTCCTTTCATTCCACCGGATGAATCACTTCCTAACACAATTTAATTGCTCATTAAGGGTGTTGTCCATTGTCTGTCTCCTCCTTCGAGAATGCAGGTGCCACATGGTAGGTGCTCAATAAATATTTGCAGGATGAATGACCGAATGGAGACTCAGAGAAGATAAAAAATGCTCAAAGCAGCACAGTTAGCAAGTGGCCCAGCAGGGATTAAACTCCATAGCGGAGCCACTTGGGTTCCCTCCCTGCATGAGCTGAAGAGTAAGTGACCAGAGGAAGCGGGTGTTGGAAGGGTGATGGGAGGAGCAGGCCCTCAGCCCTCGGCCGCAGGTTCTAGAAGCATGTGTTTACTGTCTCGTGCCTCACGGGCGCCTAGCACCCAGCACTGCCCAGCAAGAAGTAGGCGCTTCTGTTGAATAAACGGAGAAGCCAGCCGTTCAGCCAGGATGACTTTCTCCACTCTCACCCCTGAAAGGGTAAATAAGTGCGTGCACGTGTGTGACTGAGACTGGCCAAAAATGACAAATGTTTGAGCCACAGGGTGACCGGGGTGGGGAAAGCAGCTGACCCATTCGTGCGTGGGCAGGCAGCCCTCGCTGACCCTGGGCTTGGGCAGCTGTGTGGACTGTGCCTTTGGTGGGGGCGGGGGGGGCAGGCAGNAGGCGGGCAGCGGGAACAGGAGCTCCGCTGGCTGGGCTGCCAGCTACCCCCACCTCCAAGCTTCAGATTCTTGGTTCCTGCTTATGCGCAGCCCACGGCTTCCTCCCCTTCAGGCATCTGCTCCCATATCCTTGCCCATCCTCAGGCTCAGCCATGCCCAGCGGGCAGGTACCCTATCTATCCAGACTGCCGGACCCCTGGCTGCCCTGACTCTGGGTCCCCAGGCAGAGGAGACAGAGGCCAGCCCCCTTTGGAAGAAAAGCAAAAGCTGAAACCCAAAGAGGGCCAACTGGAGCCAGAACGCCTGGGTATGAGCCACTTAGTAGCTGTGCGACAAGCACTTCACTGGGCTGTGCCTCGGTTCCCTTGCCTATAAGGACACAAACATCTTATAGGCTTGTTCTGAGAACTCCAGTATGTAAGTAAACTCCTGTACAGTGAGTAACAGTGCCTGGCAGCTGAAAGCACTAAATAAATGTTAGCTGTTGATTGTTACCTTCTAACATTTCTATCTGCACAACCCACTGATAACCCCCACAGCCCATCATCCAGACCACCGCGGCCTAGTAAACAGAGCAGAAGCAAACCTCCTTCCCGCCAGGCTGCTTATGATTTCTCTTTCCCCTCTCTGGGCATCCCCACTTGACAGATGGGACAACTGAGACCCAGAGAGGTTGCTCAATTTGCTCCAGATCACAAAGTTTCAACAGTCCGAGGTCTATCTCCCTTTGCCATCCCAGCTCCCTCCCCGCCCTGAACACAGAGAAGGTGGCCTGACTACAGGTTTCTGAGCAAAGAAAGTCAATACTGGGAGTTACCTTTCCTCTTGGGCAGCTGCAGAAGGATGTTGTTCCAGAGGCCAGGGACCCACTCTGCAACCCTCTGGGGGACAGGGTGTGTGTGGGTGGTTTACTCTACCCCAGGGGCAGGGAACCTTTTTTCTTTTTTCGGCTGAGGGCCATTTGGATATTTATAACATCATTCGTGGGCCATGCAAAATTATCAACTTAAAAATTAGCCTGCTATATTTGGTCAAACACTTAATTAACTCACCCCTAATGTGATGGCTGGAATTGCTTCTCTTTGGTGAGGCCTTGGCAGGGCCAGACCAAATGATTTACGGCCCACATGTTCCCCACCCCTGCTCTAC